ATCCTTCAGTTCGGCTGCTGCTGTTGCTAGTGCTACTGCAATGACTAATATAAGATTCTTTGTTGTTTCTTTCTTTCCTTTCATTCTTTGTGAATAGACTGCATTGATGCGAACCAAATTGGACATAATTTTGCGGAGACGGGGCAGGGACGGTCATCAGAAAGACCGTTCCTGAACAGTTGACGGTCAGGATTTTGTTCAAAAAAATTATACGGTTCAGATCACTTTTTGTATCTCGTTTTTAACAACGTGTGTGGGGTTTACAAAAATTTGTTCTAAAGTTACACGTTGTGCAAATAAAATTACGCTGTGTGCAAATAAAGTTACGCGGTGTGCAATATGCACAAAACCGATAGGAACGGTTGCCCGTGGTCCTAATTTTGCATATGATTCCATTGTTTACAGTACCTTTTACTAGACTAGCCTTTTCTTTCTTTTCCCTTTTGAGCTTTCTTTCTTTACTTTTTTTTCCCAACAATGAAGATGTGAGATTTTAGGAAGGGGAGAGAAAGAAGAGAAATTTGAATTCAAAATATCTAATTTCTAAACAATCTTAACAATCAATCAATATGCAACTTTTCCTCAGGTGGAGATAGGGATGGCTTGTAGGGCGACGTTTTGACGTCTCCAAATCCCATAACCTTGTCTTCAGGATGCACTGCTGCAGGGGTAAGAAATGCAAGTTTGACGGAGAATTGTCTTGGATCCTAATCTGAGTATTTTTTTTTTCTTTTAGTATATATATAAACAAACACATCAATTCGTATTTCAGTATTCGGATCTTCAGGCTTTACCTGATATATCTATCCATCTTAAAATTTTCAAATTTCAGACGATTTTGATTTGATATGTTGTAGTGAATATTCAGTTGTATATTTCAATGTGAAAGTGCTTGCAAGTCACAGTTAATATTTACTCATGGGTACGGTTTTTCGTACATAGTGATTCTTGTGAAAGTGCAACTATCTCTTTGTAGTATTTCTTCGGTTGATCTTCGTGCAGTATTTGTTCCAGAACTCCACCATTGCGCAATTCAATCATTGATTTATATTTTTATATTTTTTTTAAATTCGTGTTGGCGGCCATGGGAAATGGGTGACAACCAGGACCGATTAAAAAAGGTTTCGGGTACAGAATCTGAAACATCGGCTGGGCCTGGGCGCTTCAGTTGGGGTTTGTCCAAAGTGTACCTGGGCCTCAATTGAAGTTTTGGGTTCGTCAGCGACGTACAGAATCCAACTCGGTCCGACGCCAGACTAAACTTGAGCTCCCCACATATTTGTTTGTTTTAGACTTTAGTCCAGAGCTCCACCTCGAGGTTATCGCCGCAAATTGCTCTTTTGGGCCTTTTTGCCGGTTGATCTAAATTCCGTTTTTCCCTGGAATAATCTTTTTGAACAACCACGTGTAATGTTATATTTTGGGGTTAACATTTATTGTTATTTTATAAATTTTCTTTTTTACTCTTATAAAAATTATTTTTATTTTAACTACCCATGATTGTTTTTACTTTTAATTATTTAAGTATATGTTTTCAACATACCTATCCCTAAATATTGTAACTATCAATATAAAATTATTTTATGAAAAATATCTAAAAGATTAAGGATTGCTTCAGTAACAAAATTTTTATTTAAAATATATGACCATGTATTTTTTGATTGCATACACATTGGGAGTGTATTAAGCACTAGTACATCATTATTTATAAGGAATCAATAATGTTTCTTCAACGAGTCATAGTTTACAAGTAGTTTACAGCTTCCATGTTCGAACAAAAAAACTGTGGGCTATTCAACATAGACGAATTCACTGTTTTTAATATAACTCAAATTGTGTAAGTAAATATTCATCTGTTTTAATTGGACTAGTTTGTTAGTGCATTAAGCTTAGGTATCCGTAAGTTTGAAGTTATCAAAAAAGATCCAAGCATAACACTAAGAAATTCTAAAACTTTGCATCTAGGGAGAGGAAGAGGTTCTAAATTCAAGACTTTTCATTTACACTAAAAAAAAATGACATAAGTTTTAATCATATAATGTGTAAGATAACCAATTCATATCATCTTAAGGAGCAAGTATTTTGAGTTTGAAGCTTTGAAAATAATATATTGGTCTCGTTTTAGGTTGAGATTCTTTTGTTAAAAAGCATTTTTAGGAAATAAATAGATATGATTATGACCCACTTAAATTTCTATTTACTTTTCTTTTTATGTTATTTGACAAGAAATAATGACATTAAGAAATTCAAGTTTATTAGCTTAACAACCACAAAAAATTGAATTTGAATGTGTAATTATTTTTAAATGAATATAAAGGAATAATACAAATTGACCCATTATCCACTAATTAAATATATTTAATTAAATCATCCGGGTAAACCCATTCAAAATTTGTTGCACACCTAAATCTACTTATTAGTGAGTGTGTTTGAATGAGTTGACATAATTGAATTATGATTGACACCCATATTCATACATTTTGTCCATGAATGCTAGAGAACCTATTTTCGTCCATGAATGCCGGATGGCCTATTCCATCGGTTAATTAGATTAGATTTTAATTACAAAAAAAAGATTAAAAATTACGACATGTCTATATGATAGATACAAATATGAAAGTAAAAATATGTCATCTTTACTTTGTTTTCATAGCATAAAGTAGTGTTTTGAATAGAATATCATTTTTCAGTAGATTATCTTAGATTTCACAAAAAAAGGATAGGATGAAATCACCATAACATACCCATGTTTCTGATATACAAGTGAAAAAATAACGCCGTGGACATCATAAATCGTCTTAAAGGTTTATAATTTTTTAAAAAATAATAATACATGATACGTTATTCAAAAACTCCAATAAAATGTGTACAAGGCAAGTTTTTTTTTTTTTTTAAAATGTGTGGGAAAGAAATTTAGTTATTTATAATAGCATGTTTTGTAATTGGATACAAGCTACTACATAAAAAGGGTAGAAGAACGTAAAAGAAAATTGTCACAAAATTTTTTCTCAAGTATTACCTTTCCAAGCGAAGCTGTAAGTTGGAATATCTCTAAAACTGAACAATAATGTATCAAGGTTTCGAAAGAATATCATTTTCATATTCATTATTTGTAAATTCCCTGGTCCGGGTCTGCTCTCACATGCCCTTCAGTGATGCCCAAGTTGAAACCACTAGAAATTTTTTTTATTATAAAATAAAAAGAAGGGAAAGAAAAGAAAAAAGTTCCCGCGGGCTACTAATTACAGCCTACCGATTTTCTCCTACTTGGACTGGATTAGTTATTTAGCTACAGGGGCCGGGTGGCAAGGAAGATACCGACGGTTCGAGCAGTTCGATCTTCCACACGTGATATAGCTGCGTCACACAAGACGCGTGGGCCAACCTTAATTCATTGGTTTTTACTTTTCAGAGAGCTAACCACAACAGTCCCTGTCCTCGAAAGGGGTTGACTTTTGGGGAAGCCTCCACAAAGATTTTGTCAGTCACAGGCGTCGTCCATAACTTGTGCGGCATCTCTCGGCCTCCTCCCCCACAACATCACTAGCTGACACCTTTAGCAGCTAAACCAAAGCCCACTCACTCAGTCAACCATTTGTTCTTTCCTTTGAGGTCGCAATTCCCCAGTTCACCGGACCCTCATTCTCTCGCAAAAGTCAACCCGTGTGCAAACAAGCCTCCCCTGAATTTGAAGCCACGCTAATATACAGGAAGGTCTCTTATGCTACAACAATTAATAGAGTATTATTCTTGTTTCATCTTATATAGGAGCAAGACGAATTTAGTTCCTAAACTACTTTATTAGAGCTGAAATATAGTTTCTAAACTTTGTTTTGAGCTAATTTAGTCCCCTAACTATTTTAACAAAATCAAAATAGTCCTTAAATTTCATTACGAGCCAATTTAGCTCATAGACTATTTTACTTGAATAAAAATAATCCAATTTTTTATACTAACACTTAGGGGTAGAATAGAATTCAGTCATTACCCTTATCAATGTGTTTTTTGGGGTATAAAAAAGTTGGATCAGATTGAATTCGATCACTGTCACGAATATGTTTACGGGATCATAAGTCACTTACACAAGTTTTTTTTTATAAATCGATTATTAATACAACCCTTACATCGGCAACGCTTTCTTTGTCCTAAAAGATTCTTTAGTGGTTGACCATCGCACAATTATTATACAGTAGTAATAATACAGAGGTCATGGATCAGGTAAGCAGTTCGGTCCACACCTCATGCATCTATCCCATCAAAAACATCCCAACAAAGACAAAGTATACACAATAATACTAACACGGGAGAAAAAAAAATGTGGCGGATATTGTACCATGGCCTCTCTTTGTATTTTCTCTTGGGATATTTGGATCGCATTTTTCTGAACTTTTTGTAAAAAAATTCATGAAAATGTATATGAAGTCAAAATGTAATTGAAAAATGTAGCAAATTTTCTTTGAAAATCTGCAATTCAAACACAGCCTTGGTCTGCTTTGTATGTATAACGCAGATAATTAATCCAAATCACAAGTCACCATAACGGCACACTGGACATTCCTACGCTACTAGTACCATAATTTGCTATCTACCTTAATTGCCTAAACTAAAATTCTCAAGCAATAGTTAGATGTAACGAAGAAAAAGTGTCTTCAAGTAGTGTGAGTTCTTGGTTGTGCATACTAATGGATGAAGAACCATCATAGTTCATGTGGTGCTATTACCTCTATTGAATGTGTTTAGACTTCATTTCTTGGCAACCATGGCATTTTTCCTAAAGTCAAACTTGTACAAGAGTACGTATTAGATATAGACTATCAGCTCACGAGGGGAAAAGAATAAAAAATGGAAGAAGAAAAGAACGTAAAAGTATTTGCATTATTATATCACGAAATGTATACGATAACTCTAGCCAGTGTAGCAACCACCAAACGTAGGTGTTAACCTTTGAAGTATAACCAAGAGATGCAAAAGACACGAAACATCAAAACTTCCCCCTCATCTGCTCCACTCTCCCCGACCTTTTAAACATTTCGATAAGCCTTATTCTTACCCACTTCATCTCAATTTTTAACACCTAAGAAGCAAGCTTCCTCTTATAATAATGCAGATCTAAGTTTACTAAGAGATATCCCATCCAAATGGCGGATCTTCAGCCTACTCCTTGGTCTGCAGATGAACTAGTAGGAGAGCTACTTGACAATGAATCGCCATTCTTCATAATTCCTGATCAAGTGGCCGAGGCATCAAACTTGGACGTTGCATCGAATCATTCACCTGTGTATAACAGGCTAATGTCCGCTGTTTACTCGGGGCCAACCATGCAAGATATAGAAAGTGCTTTGTCTGTGACCAAGTATAGAAATCAAACCGAGCATGTCTCACAAGCCAGGTTCGATCGCGTCATCTGCTTAAATTTATGTATTGATCGATAATAGCCAGCGTTGTACATGAAGCCTTGATTATAATTGCCTCTAAAGCTGTCCGGCCACATCAATGCAGAGTTTCCATGTTGGACAGAGACTTGAGTAGGACTCATGAGAACAATTACAGGTACACGCTGAGAATTAAGAGTTGCGACAATGCATTGGCTGATGATGGTTATAAATGGAGGAAGTATGGCCAGAAATCTATAAAGAATAGCCCAAACCCCCGGTATTAATCTCGGTTGTTGTGTACTAGTCAGTATAGTACTCGAAAGTGACTGAATTTTATTTATAGTTGCCGTATTTTTATTTTTACTTTCCGGAATAACGCGATGTCTTGTGAATTTGCAACCGGTGTTATGACACAGGAGCTATTACAGGTGCACAAACCCAAGGTGTGGTGCAAAGAAACAGGTGGAGCGGTGCAGTGGTGACCCGGAAACTCTCATCATCACCTACGAAGGCCTTCACCTCCACTTTGCTTACCCATTTTTCCCATGCAACCGACCACAACAGCAGCATGTGAATTCCCCCGCTAAGAAGAAGCAGAGGAAGCCCACGAGTAGTAGCAATTCACAAGGCAGAAATGATCAGGAGGCGCAACGCAGCGTTACTAGTAGTATAAACGATGCAGAAGAAAGCCCGGACAATGTTACCCACTGTAGCCCTGTAATACCACCACCACCGGCAACAGTCGGCGACGTCAATACAGGATGGGAGCAGAAAGGAACAGAGGGCGACTACTCGCCACAAGGCTTGCTTGAAGATGTGGTGCCATTACCAATTCGTAATCCCTTGATTAATCCGACGTCCGTGAATTCTTCGTCCTCTTCCTCTTTTCCATCTACTCCAACTTCACCTTCCTCCATTTCGTGGCCCCCGGGCTATTCAACCTTAGGCTTCGTCGGATTTTAGGTTTGTACGTAGCTCTGGTATTTACTAGTACTAGCTAGGAGACCATAACTCGTTGCGTATGATATATGAATAATCTAATTAATTTCAATACGAAATTTTCTTGGTTGAAAATTGAAATGTATATGTATACATCCCCAAATATTACAACGAAGTAATATCAACATTTATCTTGAATTCTGAGAGTTGCAAAATGCTGTAAAACGCCCGGAGCTCGACAAAGCAGAAAGTATCACTGTGCGTTGTCCTTCCTGGAAGGGAACTTTCATGATGGAGCAACTAGTATGAAAGTCGATCTTTGATGGTGGGCGCAAAATATACAAGGCTTCAATTTCTCTTGAACTCATGCATGAGCAGTGATACCAAAGAAAAATCGCTACGTTTTTTATGAATATATTTTTCAATCACCTTTTTACCTGATGTATATCAAATTGTTATAGTAATTTTTCTATTAAAAAAATTCAAAAAATGCAATCCAAACTAAAAAAATATTCCTTTTTTTTTTGGAAAAATATTCTTTTGAAATCACCAGGAGCCTGTCCTGATCCTAGCAGTTGGGGAAGAGGGAGGGTTAAAAATATATACATATATATATATATATATACCCAAAAAATATATATATATATATGTATGTTTGGTTCAAGGGGAGACCCTGAAAAAAAAAAAGTATTAAGTTGGGCGTTGGTGACAAATTCGGATATCTTACAGTGAAACCAGGGCCGTCGTACACAAGGCGGTTAGCCCAAACAGCCACGAGCCCAGCCCCATTCTCACTCGTTGTTAAAAAGGACACTTAATTGGGCCACCATACTAGTCAGTCCAATTTCTTTGGCGATGGGTCCCAGTATCTAACCAAGCTTGCAGCTTCGGACACGGACTTGTTCGATTGCAGATACTGTGGGGGAAGCTCCCCCGGCATTCCCCCACGACTAGAGCCAGGGGCCGACGGACGAGGGTAAATGCGTCATAGAACTTAACCCCGTGGCGGCATGTATATGTATATTCGGTTAATTCCCTTCGTCGTTCAAAAATCATGCAAGCTTCTACGATGTCGTGAGTGATTAATCCAGTTTCGGTTAACTCTGATTATCACCACCTTCTTTTACGCTCCCCTGAAACGCAGCGAATGAGACCACTTAAAAGCCCTAATTTAAACGCTGAAACGCAACGACGACGTAAGAAAAAAATCGTCCCACTCCTGGGCCTAATTTACTGTAGTTGGACGCGAATACATGTACAACCATCGGAAAAATGATTTTTTCACGAATCGGTCGTTCTCTTCTCAGCTCTTCTCGATCCGCATACAGTAATGTAATCTCATTAAAATGACTACTGTAATTTTCCTTCCTTTTTGTTTACAAAAATTAGGATTTCGTGATTATCATATTGTATAATTGTTTTGCCCCTCTGGATTATTTTGTTTTGCAGAAGTTAATTTCTGGTTTTGGTGTCCGTGGGATGAGGTCGCCCTCGGTTACTTCGACTGATCTGAATGCGTGCATTCCACGCGTTGATGCTCCTACCCTAGGGCCTGTGAGAAGCTATTTGACATCGATCAGAGCTGGAGCTGGAGGTGGAACTAAGATCGCTGGAACCACGTTTCTGTCGGAATTTAACTCGGTTTTTGCCAACCCCAGGCTTCGGAGGCTCTTTTGCAGTGAAGCGCCCAAAAAAAGAAGTCAGTCACGCATACCTAATCAGCCCTTTTATTGCATTGTGATTTTCTTCTTCTTCCTTTTTCTGTTGAGTTTGATGGTTTTGACTGGTAGTTTTCTATTGCTTTTGCTTATTTCTTGCAAATATGGTTTGCTTTTGCAGACTATGAGAACTATTATCCAAAGGACAAGAAAGAAATTCCAAAAGGGGACAATAAGAAATCATCAGAAGCTAAAGGTACTTAACTTTCCAATATCTCTGCAGTGCGGTCGCTACTGAGGTGGCTGTGAGCATTACTGTGCTTGTATCCTGGTCTTTTTATTACTGTTGATATTTCATCTCCTTCAATGGTATTTCCTGTATTCTTTGTGTGATTTCATATGTATTGTGCTATCTTTTCTATCAATTTTCCTACTTCCTTGTTCTTAATAGTCTTATAAGTCATCCATCATTTCATGTTCTTGCTAGATGAATCAAGTGCCGGTGATCAAGCGAATGGCCAGGATAGTTCTTCAAAGCAATTTCAGAATTTAATTATGCCATTATTGTTTATTGGGTATGTGCTTTCATCCATACTGCTGAGTCCTCGTGAGCAGAATCAGGTCAGCTCGCTGTTCCTTTGTTCCAGTTTCTGAGCCTATTGGTAATGTTAGTATGGATATCTCTGTAACGCACCAATTGACAGTATAGAGATACCTCAATTTCTTTAGTTGCTATTCTTCACGCCTGAAATAATGTAGTAAAACTCTTTAAAGAGGAACCATAACTAAAATGTCCACTGAGAGCATTTGTAAATAATTTGTGAACAACGATTAGTACTGACGCCATTCATACTTGGGGTTTAGATTCTTTATTTGGTAACTAGTTGAGTGTTTTAAGTATGTGTTTTAAGTATCAAGTGCCAACTGGAAAATTTCTGGAGAAATGGGCATAACGTGAACTGTTTCAATTGAAATAGTGATTAATGGATTCTCTCAGCTGCTGCTCTTTTTCTTATTGAGAAAGATCTTTTCTTTTTATTGTTTTTTCGCTTTATTTATTTGTGGAGAGAAAGTGGTCGGGAGTGGAAAATTTGTCTCCTGCTCTCCAAAAAATTGACAATTGGACACCATTTGGAATTTGCTGCCAGCAATTTGAATTACTAGGTTTATCACTGAACCTAGTTTGTTACTAAGATATCTGTGACACCTAACAAAGACACTTAATGTGGTGCTCCAACTCTTAACTTCTCTCTCATCCTTTAACTATTTTAACCTGATTTTCAGATTAGTTTCCAAGAGTTCAAGACCAAGCTACTTGAACCAGGTCTTGTTGATCGAATTGTTGTCTCCAACAAATCAGTTGCAAAAGTTTATGTGAAGGATTCATCTCCTGGTGCTAATGATGCTGTCCAAGGTCCTGTTCATAGTCCCAGTTCCAGAAGAAATGTGAGCAAGTACAAGTATTATTTCACCATTGGAAGTGTTGACTCCTTTGAGGAGAAACTGGAGGAAGCCCAGGAGGCACTAGGGATAGATCCTCACAATTATATCCCTGTGACCTACGCAGACGAGATGAATTGGCTTCAAGAGCTTTCGAAGTTTGGACCAACATTGTTGATTTTAGCTGCACTTGTCTACATGGGACGGAAAGTGCAGGGTGGTTTGGGTGTTGGAGGTCCTGGTGGGAAAGGGGCGCGTGGGATCTTTAACATTGGAAAGGCCCATGTTACAAAATTGGATAAGAACTCCAAAAATAAGGTGAGTTTGTTTACTTGGTTCCATCAAGTGGAGTAATTTACTATTCATTTTCACCATCAGTTTCATTGTCAGAAGGTGGCTTGTTTTTAATCTGGCTGTACAGGTTTACTTTAAAGATGTGGCTGGTTGTGATGAGGCAAAGCAAGAAATCATGGAGTTTGTCCACTTCCTCAAGAATCCCAAAAAGTACGAGGAGTTAGGTGCTAAAATTCCTAAAGGTGCTCTACTTGTTGGTCCTCCTGGAACTGGGAAAACACTTCTTGCTAAAGCAACTGCTGGAGAATCTGAAGTGCCATTCCTATCCATTTCTGGGTCAGATTTTATGGAAATGTTTGTTGGAGTAGGGCCAGCAAGGGTCAGGAGCTTATTTCAAGAGGCTAGACAGTGTGCACCCAGTATAATCTTTATTGATGAGATAGATGCAATTGGTCGAGCAAGGGGTCGTGGGGGTTTCTCTGGGGGCCATGATGAGCGTGAAAGTACGCTTAATCAGTTGCTTGTAGAATTGGATGGATTTGGAACCACTTCTGGTGTAGTGGTACTTGCGGGCACGAACAGGCCTGATATCTTAGACAAAGCTCTGTTAAGGCCTGGTAGATTTGATCGTCAAATTTCTATAGATAAGCCCGATATTAAGGGGCGGGACCAGATATTTAGGATCTACTTGAACAAGTTGAAACTTGATCAAGATGCCTCATACTACTCTCAAAGGCTTGCTGCTCTGACTCCTGGATTTGCTGGAGCTGACATTGCGAATGTCTGCAATGAAGCTGCTCTGATTGCCGCTAGGAATGACAGTACAGTGATCACGATGCAACATTTCGAGGCAGCAATAGATAGGGTCATTGGGGGTCTGGAGAAGAAGAACAAGGTATTTCAAATATCACTTATCTTCTATTTCTTCCATCATTTGATTCTTTTATATGTTTTCTGGTTTAAAATAACAAGCAGTTTCGGCAAGAGAAATTCTGCACCTTGAATATTCTGATTAATTTCATGAAAATTTATTCATGGAAACTTAGAGCCCAACTTAATAATCCTTTCTATATACTCTACATCTCTTTTGCGTTGGGTGCCTCTTGGTTCTCTTTAATTCTGAAGCATAGGTACTGGATTTCACTCCTGAGATTATGTACCTTTGCTTGAAGCAAATTGATTACCCTTTTTTCCCCACAAAAAGACTACATTAAGCTTGTGTAAAGAAATATATGAAGAATTAAAAAAAATTGCGGATGCAAGGAGTGAGAGGAGTAAAGGGATCCACAGAAGTTAAATTGTCTAAACTACACTTTCATCTAGTATCACGTGTCTATATAAGTTATGGATAGTAAGACTGGGGGAATATTTAGTGTTTACTGGTCTTCTTCAGGTTATCAGCAAGTTAGAACGACAAACTGTGGCTTACCATGAATCTGGTCATGCTGTTGCTGGTTGGTTTCTGGAACATGCAGAACCGTTGCTTAAAGTAACAATTGTTCCTCGTGGTACTGCTGCTCTTGGTTTTGCTCAGTACGTTCCAAGTGAGAACCTTTTGATGACCAAAGAGCAGCTATTTGATATGACTTGCATGACACTTGGTGGTCGAGCAGCAGAACAGGTGAATTTACCTCTGTTTTTTCAATATAAATTGGATTTTCAGAATTGTTTTGCAGTGTTATCAGGTTTATGGAAACTAGAATATGTTTGTTCCAATATTGAAGTTTTTGCAATTATATCAAGGGTTTGGGGAGTAATAAAATCTTAAAAGTACCTGGTCTTGAATATACTGTGATCACTTTTCCACTTTATGAAACCTAAGTAGCATTTGGATGATTCTTTGTCATTTTTAGTCTAGAATTTTGACTTTAGCTAGAAATTAAAAATTTTTCAAGTACAATGATATGTTAATTGGATATGTTTGATGGTTTCTGTCACGACCTGGGTCCAAGGGCTGGCCCAAGTAACTTTTGGGCCAAAATCCACTATCCCAAAATGGTTAACCCAAGTTACAAAGCAGCCCATGAGCCCAAGTTCTTAAACCATTCCTTTCCTTTGCATTCTTCCGATGTGGGATACTACAGTTTGTGCTTCTGATTATCTTTTGCCTGGATTTTTTGGAGCTTTTAAAGTGATAGATGGCACCATGATTTACCATATTGCTTCCTGATGCTTGGAGAACTGTGGTACACTAATTACACTACTTAGAAATCATTTTGATGAATAGGTTGTAGCATTAATTCTTTTTCTTTTTAAATTATTTGGGCAAATGTCACGAAAGCAATACGAGATTATAGAATTACTCAGGAAGCATGTTCTTGTGAAGCAGGAGGTTGTCCATCAGATATAAACCTAAGCTTATTCATCATGGCTCATTTAATATGCCTTTCTCATCATTAATTTCATTTTTGTACAGTCATATCGAGCATGACTGGTTTTTCTAGCACATTCTTCTCCTGTCAATCTGACCATATTATATCAACTTCCTTCAACTGACTATCATTTTTTTTTTTGGGGGTAGGTCCTGCTGGGGAAGATTTCAACTGGAGCACAAAATGATTTGGAGAAAGTTACCAAAATGACTTATGCCCAAGTGGCAGTGTATGGTTTCAGTGACAAGGTTGGTCTCCTTTCCTTTCCTCAAAGGGATGATACCTTTGAAATGAGCAAGCCCTACAGCAGCAAGACGGCAGCTATTATTGACAATGAAGTTAGAGAGTGGGTAAGCAAGGCATATGAGCGCACTATACAGCTGATAGAGGAGCACAAGGATCATGTTGCTCAGATTGCTGAATTATTACTCGAAAAGGAGGTTTTACATCAAGGGGATTTGGTCCGCGTGCTGGGTGAACGTCCATTCAAGAGCAGTGAGCCCACAAACTATGATAGGTTCAAGCAAGGGTTTATAGAAGATGATAAAGAAGTAGTAAAAGACTCTCCAGAAGGTAAGTCTGTACAGGATGATAGCTCGCCACCTTTGGACCCAGATGTTGTTCCAGCGTAGTTAGGGGTGAGAGACAGTGGCTTGAAAATGAGAGCAGGTTGAACACTTTATATGCCTGATCTGTTCGCAGCCGCCTGCACCCTTTATTTGCAGCACGGTGAATTTGTAAATTCAAGGACTTATACAATTAAAAGTTTAGGGGATTTTCTGTCTTCAACTAACAGCGTCCTTTATGTTATCCTGTTGTCAACATTGATAGGTAGTGGATGTAGTTTTGAGATTAACTAAGACGAGGTCTCGTGGTTAAACTGGAGAAAATCTAACTTTTCCAAAATTGATACGAATGGGTGGATCATCAGGTAAATCGACTTTCAGCATGTCAAACACTGCTTTTGCAGTTTAGCACACATCTTGTTTTTACAATTAAATGCGTGTATAAATTTTTGTTTTAAAAAATGGTTCCACTGACTAACGTTCTGTTTAGTCTAGGTTTTTCCATTTGGTATGGTGATGTAAGACAAATATTAATGGTGGACCGCATGTTTTTTTCTTCTTTGTCCTCTTAGTCTAGGTTTTTTCTTTCATTTCCTGTTTTCTTGTGTTGTCTATTGACAACATGCTAGAAATAACGTTGGTGGTAAAAAGAATTTGTTTCTTCATATTTAAATCTGCTGTGCATTTGAAGTTTTTCAGCTTTTTCACAGCCTTATCGTTTGCAATTGGTTTGCTTTTTCTTGTTTTGTGGAGAAAAGCTGTGAATTGAAATTTGATAATGTCAACCTCATGCTAAGCTTCAAGCTTGAAGAAACTGATTCTGAATTTAAGTGGTGTGAATTTCAGAGTGTGTGTGAGGTACACATCCAAGTATCTTGGTGTACATTTTCTGAATTCTGTTCTCATAGAAGGCTGCTGATCGAGTAGGTGATACTGGTGATTGAGTTTGCATATTAGTTTGTCAATGATTGACCATTCTCACGTAACCTGTCTTTGAGCACCAAAGTGTGCAGAAACCACATTGGGGTGTGTGTGTTTTTGAGGCATTTTATTTTTTGGGAGTGCCAATATGACTACAGTTCTTATCCCCTTGGGGGGTGCGCGTGTTTTTTTTTTTTTTTTCAAATTAAATGAGGATGATCCTTGTCATTTTGGAGTGCTAATATCATTACCTTATAGTAGTTCTTATCCTCTCTATGTGTGTGTGAAATTGTTTTTTTTTTGGTTATTTAAATGAAGATGAGTGAGGCTTGTCTCTGTATTTTCGGACAGCTAACTAAGTAGTGATTGGTGTAAATATTGCCACGTAAGAATATGAGGATTGGAGTAGAGCGGACGTGGGTCCTTCCTGATGTGGCAATGTCTTCGCCCAGTTATCATATGTTGCATATTTGTGGCGATAAAGATTAGTATTTTATACTTGGGCTTGAGACTCAGACCATTCCACAACAATGAAAAGTAGCAGTATTATGGACAGAAACTACAGATTGTTAGATCTCCTATGTTATGTTGTCCTACCATTAAGTTGCTTCGGCTGTTATGTTGTCCTACCATTAAGTTTTGTCCATTTAACTTTGTTATGTTTGGAACCTAGATCGAGGATTCTCACACTTAATGATGGATGGATGGATTATTCAATCACTAACAATTCTCGCAGCTGGATGGCTGGCCGAGATGGCTGCTAGAATTGTTTGGATTTGATCGCAACTATTTCTAAAAATTGGCAACCTATATATATGACTAAATGATATATATATATATTATTTAGTGGCCTTGTGTCTGTATTCTGAAAGGCACAGGACAAGGGGACTACAAATGTATGGCCCTTCTAAAACTGCGGTGCGTTTGGTTCTAATTGATTGCGTCAATTGACGGGGACTCGTTGGATCATTGGAAACGCATCTAATTATCTGCTCCTACAGCTCTGCTGGTGGTGGTATTTGAAATAGGATTGCGGTGCTGATCAATGACCAACTCCTAACCAAATCCAGCCATTGCTTGTTTTGGATGCCGTGACAAGTTAACCGACCTTTGCATGAGCATGAAACATTAAATCACTAAACAGCACCCCCCAAATGGCTTCCGAGTAGGAAAGCAAATTAGGTATAAAAAGTAGACCTACTTTACGGTACTTTCCAGCTCTCCGCCAGTAATTGGATGCCAATCATTTTTTGGCGTTTGCTTTTCCATCAATCAGCGCCAAAGAGCTTCACAGTTGCTAAATATTTGCTTTTCGTGTGGTGGAGAGAGGCTTATGGGTCTAGGTTGGATTCATTACGGGTCTCAATAAGTACATCCATACTAGACCCTTCTTCTCCGTAGGTTTGGATAATCAACGAGTATTTTTTTTAATATTGTGAAGTAAAAATATTTTTAAAAAATATAGAATTCAAAAGTAATATAAATGCGATCTAATTTTTGTTTTCAAATAATAAAATTAATATTTTTAAAATTTATCCTTTAATTTAACAATCATAAAGTCTTACTATATTCGATTCAATACTTATAGAATAATATATATATATATTTATGCGCGCGCGCGTGTGCGTGTGCATGTGTGTGGCGGGGAGGTGGGAGGGAAGGGATGTGGGGGAAAGGGATGAATTAAGTAATATAGAAAAAGAAGTGTAAGTAAGAAATTTTGAACTTAAAATCTGTCACTTTAAATCTTAGTTAAATTTGGATAAGACTGGACCAGTTTACTTGGCTACACTCGACTTTGTAGACCACGGCACGCTCATTTGTAAGCTGAGGCAATGGTTCGCGAGTTGAGGTATTTCTTGTCCCTATATTTATTATGCTAAAATTTGTTGGTTTTCTCAGATTTGCATTTTTCATTATATTATTATTTTTTCAGATAAGCTCAGATTTTCATTTTCAACGGATGTCGGACCTCCAAACCTAGAACTTCCACAAAGACAAGTGGCCTCCACATTGGGCACAGATCCATCCAATAGCATTTTGTCTTTTTCTTTGTTTTTTTTTTTTTAAGGCATTAAGGCAATTTCGTGCACGAATCAATTTCGACTCACAAAAAGCCGTAAGAAAGAAAAGGGGAATGTAGGAGAGGAGTGGAGGTTTGAAGGTTGAACCCACAACCAGCCTTATCTAGTGCCCTCCAGTTCCAGTGGCCTACAGCACCTTGGCTGATGATTATGGAACAATAATGATACTCCTCAGTCCACGCGGAGTAAGGGTTGTTGGGCAAACTCCTTATTTGTGCACGTTAAAAGTGCATACCTTAATTGACTTTCTTTTGCTTCCAATTCTTGTAACTTTTCAATAGTTTCTAAACCAAATTTAGATGTTGTTACTTCCCACTTTCCAAAGAGAAAAACCATGTCGACATAATGTGCATTCGAGAGAAAATTATTGCTTTCCCGCTAATAGCTATAGAAGAGTGGACGTAATTTATGATGACTCTGTTTACCCAACGTGAATCAAAATGACAAAATCATGTTTGAAATTGGCTCTGACAACGAGAAACACATTATTTTAGGATATAGTAAGAACTTAAAAGATTCATTCAAACATCAGCTTCTAGACACCCCTAATTGTTTTAATTGGATTTTTTCTACGGAGTCTCTGCTCACATCGAGTCCTCCTCTTCCGTTCCTTTAGATCAGATTAGATTAGATTATAAGAATCCTATCGTTGCGACAATAAAAATAAAAATAAAAAATCCCCAGTGTAGTGTAGATGAGCTTGTGCGAATCATCAAATATCATCCAATGAAGATAAGCAACAGACATTAATTAAGAAGCTAATCCCATGAATTTCTTGATTGGATTGAACTTGATATCAATTTGGATTAAGAGTTCTGCGGTACAAACAGATTACGCTTCATCCACCATTATAGCCTATTGATTTTTTTTTTTTCGGAGACGATAAACCTAATCTATCCTACACTAAGGGGAAGGGGGCGGACCTAAGGAAGCCCAGGGATAATTCGGAGGGAACTGAACCACCACCGGACCAGACGAGTGCACAGCACACCCACTTGAATTTTTTTTTGAAACAAGCCACTTAAATGTGGCATTTTTTGGTGGGAGGCAAGGGAAGGTTTGATCCCTTGCCTCCCACCCCACCAACTAGGTGGTGGCCACCGAGCCTATCGATTGTTAAGGGAGAAGTTAAATTCAGATCATTCCGTCTTCAAATTAGCGCCTTGTACAAGTGTCAAATCGTACAGGTCATCAATGCGTCAAATCAAATGTGCGGGTTTAGTTCCCCCCTATTTATCTATGTGTAAGAAAAGAAAAGGATAAACGCGAATCCATCACGGAGCCCGCATGGTACCTTTGTTTAGCGCTTGATTAGCAGTTGATAATTGTTGGGAAGAACAAGGCATTTAGCATACGTTAGGTTTTGGAAGACCAATACAATGGGGACATCATTATTTTATCAGATGTCAAGTGCATTATTGGTCAAATGCTTCCAAAATTGCAACTCTTAAGTAGAAGAACGGATTCCAAGAACCCCCAAAATCTACAACTACGTAGCTTGACCATACATGTTAAATGTATATTCATCTCACGTCTTAGTTGTCAAAACAAAAGAAATACAGAGTATGTGTCAGCATTGTTGGCCTCGTTCGTTGATACAAAAGAAGAAGATTGAACTGACTTTTGGTATTGCTATAAGGCATTAATTTACTCGATTTTGTCTGAACATCCCAAGACTCCAATAATGACGGGTGGAGTCTATGCGCTTTCGGTTTGGTTTCAAGCAATAGGTAAAATAGGCGGCTTGCAAAATACTACTAGTTGTATATATGGCCAGCCAGACACAGGACTATTATATATATATATATATATATACTAGTTGTATGTATTGTTGGGCGTATGAGATGCGTTGGAGCTCCATTGCCGTAGCTTTCATGGTGAGCCAGCCTCACTTTCATGGTGAGCCAGCCTCACCAGCTGGAACACACAGAAATGAAATATCTAAAAGCGCCATATGATTGACAACCCGTTGCATTTTGATACTTATAATCAATAATTGGAGATTGATGACCACACCGTTCATCTACGACGTGTTGCGATCGGGGCCAGCCAGGTGGCGCGTTGGAATAGTTGGAAGAGGAAGGAGATTATCAATTGAAAGGGTTAGGAGTGGCCCTTTCGAGTTCCAAACCATAAAACCAGCTACGCTGCCACTATTGTCAAATGCGTAATCATCTCTAGAAATTAAAAATAAGTAGCCCTCCTACTCAACGTTTTAAAGTGGGAGAGAACGAAGATCGAAGAAGG